GTATTAAGCTAGAGAAGATGGCCAGGATTTGTTCTGCCTGCAGGCAGAGGTGCATTGGTACATTGCCCACTCTTAAATGGAGAGAAGGACTAACGACATTGGGGAAAAATCGGGTATGGGCAATAAGAGGCAAAGACTGGAACTTCCAACTGCCTTGGCAAGGACAAACTTGGCTTTCTGATAACCTAGACATAAACATTTCTAGTGAACTAGACTGAGGGGACTAAATTCTTCCCAACAGGGCCAGGTTTCAATTTGAATACAATAACTTAAAATGATGCTGCATCCTGCAGCATTAGAGCCTAGAAGAGGCAATATCCAATGGCTGGCTGACATTGAGTACCACATTATCTAACCATGAGAATTGGGCAGGGATAGCATCCCTGGTGATATCAGTATTCAGCCTTTTGCACCCTGTCCACCTTACCACAATTTTAGAAGCTTAATGAAGACATACTAGTTCAACTAAGAAATTAAAACTGTGTGCTATCATTAGAAGATATTTAATATCATCTGATATTAAAAGTAAACTAAGAGGACTATCTGTTAGATGACCAGGAGGAGGTCTTGGAAACCATTGTGTTAAAAACCACCATCTTAGCAATTTTCCATAGGTTGGAGAGTGCCCAGTGTAGTAACCTTGGGGGTCTTTTTAACTTTCTCATATTAGTAGTTTAACAACAGCAGCCACAGAGGGGTGGAAATCTTATTTTGAGGCTTGCAGCCATGTTATAGATCCCAGAGATAGGGTCTTTTGCAGTATCTGCTTACAGGGCACATGGCTTATCTCATGGAAGTTATTTCAGCATTTTTCTTCCCTCTGACTTTCCACAGGTTCTCTGTTGTTATTGTTCACTGTATATTTTGAAAGTGAAAGACAATCAGGTTGAGGAAAGCCTAGTGTATGTTTGTTTGTGGGGGTGCAAATGTGGAATAAATATATATAATGCAGAGTGGCTAATATGTTGTGCTATTTATCTTCATTTGTGAGGAGAGATAAGTCAGCCAGGACTGTGCCAGTCCTGATTCATTCTTCATCACTACACTCATGAAGATAAATGCCACATTTACAGAGACCACAGCTATCACGTGTTCTTTCAGACCAGAGATCAGATGGGCTAGAGCAGGAGGTCGACCTGGTGTCATTATTTGAAAATCAAGGACACTTTGTAGCATCTCCTACTCCCACACATCTTGATCTCCAGTGTTACACTAGGCTACCGCTAATGGCTGAAGAGGTATTTAATTAGCATATATATTCAGCCATGTCTACATTCAGATATTCACTTCATTTTAGTTTTAAAAAATGTTTATTTCCTGTGTTTGCTCAGCGCAGCATCCTGCAGTGGCAATGTACTGATTAATAGGATATAGTCTTGGTTCTCACAAGGTGGTAACTGGCATAATGAAGAGAATATTATGGGGAAAAATGAGAAGCAAGGGGTTAATTCTCTCTGTGGGCATGCCAGATGACAAAGGAGCAAGTCAGAATAGAACTGGTGAGAAGTAATCATTTCTGAGCAGCTATAGTAAAAGAAAATGTCACGCACACATTAGCTTTCCATGATTTGCAAATGGCTGTATCACTGTACTTTAAGGCTATGGCTGAGCAAGTGGGTAACTTCTCTGTCTTGTACTGAATTACATATTCTGGCTTTATTTCCCGCCCCCCCCCCCCAGCCCCACCACTAAAGTGTATTAAAAACTAGGCAGAGGAATAGAGAATTAAGTCACATAGTAGCAACGGCATTTAAACCACATACAGAAAAGCTGAATCTAAATAAACAACTTAAAAATACAAATGGCTCAATAGGACCTCTAACTTCCCAGGGGATTTTTTTCATGTTTGAAATAAACACCTTCTCACATAATCACATGCTTAACCTCGACAGGGCAACCAGATTAATTTTCAGTTAAAATTTCAAAGTGGTACTGATTGAGACTTTGCTGCTTATAGTTATTGTTTATTGTTCTAGAAAATCCCACGTTTGATTTGGAAAACATAAAATACAGGGTGCCCCAAAAAATGTATGCACACTTTAACAGCTGATAACTCAATCTTGCAAATGAAATGTATTTTAATAAACAATGCCTTTATAATTATTCAAAGTGTGTGCATACATTTTTGAGGATACTCCATATTATTTCTTTCTGAGAGCTTGCAATATGCCAAGCTAGTTGGTTCACGGGCATCACCTCATTTCATGAACAAAAAAACCTTCGGAGCTCGGCTCTATTATTTTCACCCTCACTTTACAGAAGAGGGCATTGAAGGCTAAAAATATCATGGAACTTGCGTAAGTCACAAAATCACTACGTGTAATGTTGGAATTTTATCAGCTTACATTCTGTGTGCTATCACATGCTCTGATTTAAGATTCCTCATCATCTCCATGTTTATACTCCCCCTTTCACCTGCTTTTCTCTAGAAAAGCCCTCAGGGAGGCTCTCAACTTCTCTGGCCTTTTGTTTCCTTATCTATATCATTGGACCATTGATGGGCTCCATCAATAAACAAATCATATGAACTCTATGTCCTGAGACTTCATGTTGTAGGAGACAAAATACATGCATACATGCATACATACATACATACATACATACGCATTATCGCTAGTTGTGAGAAATGCTTGAAAGAGCAATAAAGCAGAGTAAAGGGATAGAGAAGGATGGGGGCAAGGAGCAGTTATATTTTAAGCAGCAGAGCTGAGGAAAACTTCTCTGAGCAGGTGGCTTGGAGGAAGTGAAGGAGCTAAGTCTACAGATATTTGGATAAGAGAAGTACCATTGTCATGTGCCTATATAGCTACAGCTCTGTCTGGGTGAAGAACATTCTAAGCAGAAGAGACAGCAAGTACAAATTTCCTGAGGAAGCAGTGGAGGTTGAGTTAGAATCAAGAGTTTCTTTTGGAGAGGTTATTTCCAAAGCCTCCAACTGGAGGTCTTAAATTAGTGGATACTATCTGTGTTGCCGGCTATAGATGTTTATATTTTTGGCAGTCTTTAGTTTGTAGTGGTGTTTAAAGCCACTATGGGACCACTTAAAGAGTAAGTATAGATAGAGAAGAGGTCCCCTAAGAAGCCCAGGTGCACTCTAAGGTTTAGTGGCCCAAGAGATAAGGCAGAGCTACTGATGGAGGCTGAGCAGAGTGACCAATGAGATGAAAGAAAAATTGAGAGGGATTTCCTGGGAGCCAAGTGCAGGGAGGACAGAGTGGTCACTAGGTCTAATGCTGCTAATTTTTGCCTAATCTGAGAAATGAGAATTGGCTACTTGATTTAGCAATGGACCTAAGTGTATTTCCCACCTCTTCTTTGCCCCCTCTACACATGTGTATCATTACTCATTGCCTTGCTCTCACATTATTATAAATCTCAAGCACATTAACTTATAACTCATATTTTATATGCCTTATTGAAGGATAGTTAATGGTTCTTGAAAATGTGATATTTGGGGAAACTTTCTATAAGACTAAGTTACCCATTTTTTAAAAAAATATATTTTTATTGATTTTAGAGAGGAAGGGAGAAGGTGAGAAACATCAATGATGAGAGAGAATCATTGACCTGCCTCCTGCTGCATGCCCCCTTCTGGGGATCGAGCCCACAACCCAGGCATGTGCCCTGGACTGGAATCGAACCCAGTTTTTAAAAAAATATATTTTTATTGATTTTAGAGAGGAAGGGAGAAGGTGAGAAACATCAATGATGAGAGAGAATCATTGACTGGCTGCCTCCTACATGCCCCCTTCTGGGGATCGAGCCCACAACCCAGGCATGTGCCCTGGACTGGAATCGAACCCAGGGCCTTTCAGTCCACAGGCTGACGCTCTATCCACTGAGCCAAACCAGCCAAACTGTTTTTTAAAACCGATGACAAAAAATGCACAGATCATCTCAGAAATAAAATTTAATCTTATTCTGTTTTACTTATGGAATAATAATGATATTTATCCGTGGTATATTGCTTATAAGTTTATGAAACATTTTGACTTACGTTATATGTTTCAAACAAAACCATGTCACGCAGTAAAACACTCAGCTCTGAAGCTTACACCATCAGGACTCCACCACCTGCTAGCACCTCCTTGAAGGAGTCAACCACAGACACACACTTCACTCCTCCTCATCCCTTGAAGATTTTAACACCTGCCTCCCTGTTGTTCTCTGCAGTCCTGCTCCTGATAGAATTCTTGGTGATTTCAATATCCGTGTCGGTCCCTGGGCCTTGATGACTAAGTGCATGGGCTTTTTCTATCTGCTCTTGTTCACGATTTCCTTTTTTTGCAGCTTGCACCAACTGCACAGCTAAGCTGTAAAGATCTGTACTGTATTGGTTGGAATGAAAGATTGTTTGTTTACTTCATCATGCTGTGCAAAATGCCAACTCGACCTCTTCATGTTTCTTTGCTTCAATTACTCTGTGGCCCTCAAGATCAGATTCTAAATTTTGATCTGCCATTGCCACCGGAGTGTTAGGAGGAGAGTAGGGGCAGGATGAAGGATGGGGAAGATGAGGAGATGTTCGTATCTTTCTTGGTTTGGGATGTGGGGGGAAAAAACAATTGGAGTTTGCCGCAGAAACCAATGTCAAACTCTTAACATGTCATTTGACTTTAATAATTCAGAGTTCTGATTAATTATTTCTTATATATATTCAAAATACATTATCCCATTTGATCTTCGGAGGTGGTATTGATCAAGACACTGGAACAGAGAGAACATGGGACTTGCTTAAGGTCATGCATCTGATAAATCAGAACCAAGTATAGACTACAGATCTTCTGAGACCAATTGTATTTTTTATTTGCATTAAATAATGCATTGTTCAAAATGGTCAATGGTAAAGATAGTTGCTTTGGCTTTCTTCCCAGGAGAGTGTTAAAATACAGTTGTGATTCAATAGTAAATATTGTCACCAGTGTTGTCTGTGGTGATAGTGGTGGCTGCAGATAGAGAAATATGCTGAATTGTTCTAATGTATGCTTTTGTTTTTTTAGATTGTTTACGCATGGAGACCACAATGGAGAGCTAGGTAGGTGACAATTCATGCTAAATCTTTCCCACAACATCCTGAACACCACGGCATCAGCTAATGGGCAGTGGCTCATTATACACTGTCAACTCCAATAACAGCAATGATTGGCTTTGCCAGCATGAGCAACTGCAAACCACTAATGGATTAAAAAAAAAGAGGCTGCAATATAGCAGAAAAGACATATGTGGCGTCATTTTTTGCAAATTCCTTGTATGTTTCTCTTTGCCAGTTTAGAAACAGCCTTCATGTTCCCAGCTTGGCCCCAGAGATGGCTGTCCTTGGGATTCCCTTCTCTTGTGAGTGCTTCCTCCTTCAGTCATATTTCAAGGGCAAAGATGTTATAAGGGTAGCGGTGGCTCATGGTTGGAGCTGGATTAGTGTTTCTCCTGTGGAAATATTTCTGGAGCTCCCACCTCACCGCACACCCCCCCCCCACACCAGCCAATCATGTCATATGCACAAACACGCTTACCCCGACTGTAGCACAGCATCCGTGGGTGGCATTTCTATCCATAGAGAGGAGATCAGGAGGCAGCAGGCAGAAGTACTGACTTCTTGCTCTGCGACTTATGATCAATGTCTCCGTTACATTGTCATCTCCTGGAAGGCAGGATCCTGGATTTATTTTAGTCCAGTACCTATGAGCCATAGTTGTCCTTCCTTGAATATTTACCAACAACATTAATGCATTCCCTTCTAAAAAGTCCATAATTAAGTTGGGAGTAGGGTTTAATCTTCTTGCCTTCCCTGTCCCTAGGACAGCGCCTGACACACAGTAGAATGACACTACTTGTTTGTTTAGTGAAGGAACAAGAGTTTGAATGAGTCCATCCTTCAGATGGTACCTTGTTGCCAAATTAAAGGCAAAGCAAACCTTTTTTAATTAGAGACAGAGAAATGATGACTTCTAGTGTTTTCTTCTCTCTCTCTCTCTCTCTCTCTCTCCCTCTCTTTCTCTCTCTCTCTCTTTCTCTCTCTTGGGGAGGGGGGTGGGCACCAGGAATAATGCCCTAAAAGTGGTTGTTTATTTTGGAAGTCAAAAGCTAATCTGAAGCTGTTTTCTTTATTTTTATATTCAAATGTCTGTATAACAGCAAAGCACCAGAGACCTATTCATTGCTCACAAATGATCTATGAGGTAATAATGAGCTTGCTTTTCCAGCTGTGCTGCATTTTGGTGCTATCCTGGGTTTAATTGAAAATATGCTGTGACCTTGGTTTTGTTCACTGGGCATGGAGGGTGTCTAATTGGCATGAGACCTCTGAAGAACTCCCTTTTAGCAAATGTCATTTAGCTAATTTGGGGTTCGCCTTCGGGAAATCATGTGTGAAGTCCTGTCAATTTAAGATGCATATTATTTGCATGCAAATCACATGGAGCTAATAGTGTTTTTTTTTTTAAAAAAAAAGAGATTAACTTTTTATTTTGCTATACCTATTTGTTGAATTCTAAATGCTATCAGTATGATAATAGTATTGGCCCAAAAAGTCTCATGTTTCATCATAATTAAATAAACAGCTTGTGAATTGCAGTCCAAAAAATGTCTGTGTTCCACTCTTAACTTAAGGGGTTTCCATAGAAACCGTGGGCAGCAAGTTTAACTGACATTTATTGGACTTGAGGCTATATGCAGCATTGATATCTCTGTTTTTGTCTCTGTCCCTCTGTGCATATGTCTCCTTCTCTTCCTTTAACCCTCACAATCCTCTCCCCACCTCAGTCCTTCCCTCCCCCCTCATTTTCCTCCTCCCCTTCTCTTATGAGCAATGAGGAAGTAATTTGGACTCAGTTAGATTTAACAAATGCAATAATACTAAAATGAGCTCTGATACTTAAGTGTAATTGTGTTATTAGCTGGAAATGTTTTTCTTCAAAAACAAAAGAATTGAGAGTGAAGTTTACTCAAATAGCACATGCTGGCAAGAAGGAACCTAGTGGAAAATTTGCAGGCTGCATATCACAGTCTACATTCATACCCCAACAACAGCTTTTCTTTCATTTAGTCAACCCAGACTGATGTTTCTCTTCAGTCCTAATTTTCAGCCTTCTAAATAGAGCATAGTTATTATGCTGATTATATTCCAAGAGAAAAGATAAGTTTATTTAGGAAAGAAAACATACTCTACATATTGTATACCTACTGTGTGCCAGATATTTTGCTATGCAGTTTCATTTAGGTTGTCTTAGTTAATCACACAAAATACACCGCCAGGCAGGAAAATGGATTTGGAGCTGGTGGTTGAAGTTTAGCGCCAGTCCCTCCTCAACCCCCAACCAGCTGGCTTGGTAGAGTGCTTTAATGCTGTCTTAGTTTCTCAAAGAAAAAAAATGAATATAAAGCATTTCTAAAAATGGACTTTTATTAGGATTATTGATGATAATGTAGCCAGTGCCCTGTGGTAGTGATGTTTCTCTCTATCCCTTTAACAATGAGGAAAATAAGTTGCCAAAAGAATAAGTCATTTATTCAAAGCTATAAAGTGTGTACATGCAGTGCAGTGGTTAAAATGGGTCAATGTAGATAGATGTAGGATCAATTACTGATGGTGTGATTTGGGTAAGTAATTATCAGAGCATCTAATTAAAAGGATCATGCAGTTATGAGGATTAAGTAAAATTGCATATGTAAAATATTCAGAGTGTATGTCAGCTAGAAAACCATATTTTTTTTTGAGTGTGTACATGCAGTGCAGTGGTTAAAATGGGTCAATTTAGATAGATGTAGGATCAAATATTGATGCTGTGATTTGGGGTAAGTAATTATCAGAGCATCTACTTGAAGGATCATGCAGTTGTTATGAGGATTAAGTAAAATTGCATATGTGAAATACTCAGAGAGTGTATGTCAGCTAGAAAACCGTATTTTTTTTTTTTTCTGTCTCCCTCCTTCCTCCACCTTCTGAATTGTTTTGTTTTTAGTATGGATTTAAATTAAAAAAAAAAAATGATCGGTCTTTAAAATCTATCCAATACTCATAGTTTAAAATGATCTTATAATTCATAGACTGTCTCAAGGTATCCTTGATAACCATGATAAAGGAAAGACAGGTAATAGCACACCCATTTTACAGGTTAGCATAACGGAGATCCAGAGTGTTATTGGCAAGATCGCCCTATAGTGAAGGAGGAAGTTGAAATTTTTTTAAATATATTTTAATGATCTTATAATTCATAGACTGTCTCAAGGTATCCTTGATAACCATGATAAAGGAAAGACAAGTAATATCACACCTATTTTACAGGTTAGCATAATGGAGATCCAGAGTGTTATTGGCAAGATCTCCCTACAGTGAAGGAGGAAGCTGAAATTTTTTAAAAATATATTTTATTGATTTTTTACAGAGAGGAAGGGAGAGGGATAGAGAGTCAGAAACATCGATGAGAGAGAAACATCGATCAGCTGCCTCCTGCACGCTCCCCACTGGGGATGTGCCCGCAACCAAGGCACATGCCCTTGACCGAATCGAGCCTGGGACCCTTCAGTCCACAGGCTGACGCTCTATTCACTGAGCCAAACCAGCTAGGGTGGAAGTTGAAATTTTTACGTAGGTCTCTAGGATTCTTATATTAAAACTCTCAAAGTCTATTGTTCTTCTTTGGGTCCTATGTACATGTGTCTTAAAGCTGAAATCTAGCAGATTTTAATTCATATTTCTAATTATGGTGAGAGGAAAAAACTTTGGGCAGGAAAGGAGAAAATGAAGTAGGGAAGGGATACTTACAGACCTGTTTCCAAGTTGTTCCCTCAGGATTCAAAGGGACATGTACAATTACAGTTCTCAATCTTAGGGGCAGATGAAGCATTGATTTTGTATAGCAACATTGAGCGTTTCTGGTTGGACAGAAAGGGTGGGATGGAAAGAAAAATAACTCAAGTCAGGTATCAGTCAGAGATGTTGGTGAGCACCCAGTGGTTTCAGAAGTGAGTGTACAGTTAGGACAAGGGTGTGATGGGGCATGATTGCTGGAGAGCGTGATCATGAACACACACACAAACACACATACATGGATACACCCACATACATAGACACATATATAAAGGATTAATCTGAATGAGCATGTCTTTAAATTATAATCATTTTATTGCCTCAAAGAGCTTATACTAGGAGATACAATGTTAGCTCTACCATTTTTATCTGTTGTATGTTTATGCTTGCTTAATTACTGGAATATGCATTCTGTGTTATCTTTGAAAGAATACTCACAAACCCCTTTCTTCATTTTGTATTAATTAATTAAAAATAAATAATGCAATCCCTAAAGCCACTTAGCCAGACACCCAGGAATAGTAGCAGTCACGATGTGCTGAAAGCATATGAATAGGTCATGCATAGCAGGTAACCCCTCTGTGCTGTGGAAGTCCCTCTTTTGCTCAGGATTCCTCATATATGTTATGGGACACATGGCTCCACTGCCAAAGTAATAAGTCTTAATCCCTTTCTTATTTCTTAGATGAAACGAATTATAAATATAAATTTTAACATTTTTTATTTTATGCCAAATGCAGTGATGGCGAACCTTTTGAGCTCGGTGTGTCAGCATTTTGAAAAACCCTAACTTAACTCTGGTGCCTTGTCACATATAAATTTTTTGATGATATTTACGCGTGTCAGCATTTTGGAAAACCCTAACTTAACTCTGGTGCCGTGTCACATATAGAAATTTTTTGATATTTGCAACCATAGTAAAACAAAGACTTATATTTTTGATATTTATTTTATATATTTAAATGCCATTTAACAAAGAAAAATCAACCAAAAAAATGAGTTCGCGTGTCACCTCTGACACGCGTGTCATAGGTTCACCATCACTGCCCTAATGGATCATCTTGGTAAATTTGGTGCTGAGGAGAGTGGATAAGAAAAGGAATATTTCTCGATACTCTACAGAAGAGTCAACACACTATTTTTGTAGAGGGGCAAAGAATAAGTATTTTAGAATTTGTGAGCCACATCGTCTGTCACAACTGCACAATTCTGCTTTACTGTGATAGCAGCCTTAGATAATACATCCATGGATGGGTGTTTAAGTGTTCCAATAAAACTTTATTGAAAAAAAACAACAAGTGGTAGGGTGAACTTTGTTTATGGGCAGTAGTTTGCCAACCATTGATCTTAGAGTTTTGCTTACATCTCCACCTACCTTCCACGTCTGTTCATATGGCAATTATAGCTTAAAAGATAGGACTGGGGAGTGTAGGACTGACAATGATATCATACTCTTCCCTCATTTTGTGTGCTGTACTTTTTGTCACACTTACTTTTGATAAAACTTTATCTTTTCCGTATTTCTTTA